CCTCTCCCACACCCACACCCACACCCACACCCACACCCACACCCAAAACTGTGCCTATTGATAACTCGTGTTTAAATACATATATATATATAATCGTTATCATTTAAAATCATCACACATTAACGAATTACTAAGAAAAGCTAAGCATGTTAACTATATAAGATACCATCGATGACGATTAGAGTTGGTGAGGAAGATAAGTCGACGTTCTTATAGCTTCATACTCTGCTTGGATATTCCAGTTCGAATCGTCCTGAAAGACCCTTAATTTTGACCACCTTTCACATCAGACAATGTAGAATATGCGAGAAATCACTGAAGATACTATCTTACCTGATTGAACTGCAATGCTTCTCCAAGATGTAACTCTCCTTTATCGTCAATCTCGTTACTATGAATGTCTAACACATTTAGAGTCTATGATCAATGAAGATATTATATACTGGTTCAATAGACGTAGACAGGTTGTCTTACCATATTCATCTTTAATGCATCTGCAAAATATTGTGCTCCTTGATTGCTTATCTTATTACAGCCAAGATTCAGTTTTGTGAGTGTCTATAATTAACAAAGATATGACATATCTTGTGATAGGCAGAGAAAATGAGACTATATTGGTCTTCAGTGCTTCTGCAAGACATTGTACTCCACTATCGCCAATTAGATTCCCAATAAGATTCAATTCGGAAAGTGTCTACCATCAGTGACAACCTTGAATATTTGATGAATGAATAAATAATCACTTTTACCTGATTCATCATTAGTGCTTCAGCTAGATATTGTGCTCCTAGATCACCGGCATAATTAGCTTGAAGACTCAGTTTTTCTAGTGTCTGTGATCAACGGCTGTAAATATTTGTAAAATGAATAAACACTATGTTTCACCTGATTTATTTGCAATGCTTCAGAAAAATAACTAACTCCATCAAAATCAATTTCGTTAGCTTGAAGTTCTAATGTTTTGAGGGTCTATAATAAACGATATTATCAAAGTATTAAAATTAAAGTAAAGTCTCTGTCTCACTTGGTTGTTTTTCAATGCTTCAGCCAGATGTTGCGCTCCCTCATTACCAATTTTGTTGCCCATAACTATGATTGTTGTAAGTATCTATAATGAATGACAATATTGAATAGTTGAGAAATGAGTTGACGTCATGAAACACTTTATTGAATAACAATGCTTCTGCCAAATACTTGGCTCCTTGATCGCCGATGTCGTTCATTGTAATCAACAGTGTTGTCAGTGTCTTCATTCGATGTAAACAAAGCATAACTTACGATTAATGATAAGTATAGAATGTGTTTCACCTGATTATCAATCAATGCTTCAGCAATGCGGAGTGCTTTTTGATGATCGAATCTGATAGGTGGTATTCTGATTATGGTGACAGGCTGTAATTAATGAGAATATTGCATAACAGTGGAACCAAAAGAGAAGAAATCTTACGGGACTTGCATTTATTTCAGTGACAAAACGATCGAATTGGTTTGTTCTCGTCCCACGAAAACAGAATTGCAGTTTAGACAGTCTCTAGATGAAATTTAAGTAATAGTATTGTGATATTCGAATTTTCAAAGTTTATGTTTTAAATGATTATTTTTGAGCGCATTGATAAGCATCCAACGAATAGTAATTAAACTACATATTGTCTATTTAAATCATTCCAACACCATCAAGTGTCGAATCTTGTCATCAGCTATTTCTGTCTGTATTTCGACAGATTCAAATCTTGATTTGATATGAGATAATCAATCGAAGAGAGTATTAAACATCTCTGTAGTATCTTCACAATAACCTATTTTCGACTGAAAAATGAGTATGAAATATACCTTATATGGTTCATACGTGTCCATGATGATATTGATGCGTGTACAGACGTCATGAAGGGAGAAGAGAAGAGCCTCAGAGTCAAGATTGTCCATAATACGATAAATCAGCTCGATTGGTAGAGTGAGAAGTGATGGAGCGCTGTGGTTGGCCATAGTGTGATTAGTTCGGTGAGTGATGTCTCGATGAAATGAATAGATACTAAAATATTTATTGATCATACTTTCGTGTGTGAGTATCATTTACGAATGTTTACACAATGATTATTCGATATTCAATGAAGTTCTGTGCCTTATATGAGTTTGACGAATAAGAAGAAGTATTTCAGAAAGAAGAGTCATGTAAATGACTGTATATTACGATGGCAGGTCTTGTACAAATGTATTGCTTATTAAGGAATATTGCTATCGTTTTTGGTTAGGAGATACAGTGACTCTCAAAATCGTTCGTACACCTGAAAATGACCTTGTTTCTTTAATATCTCAGCATGAGTTCAAGATATAGAGGTGCAGTTTTCGTCAAGATGTAGTTTGATTGCCACAGATGTTTTGCTGAAAGTTTCGACTCTTTGAGTCTTATATTTGTTATGCTAGACGGGTGTGGATATGAGTGTGGATGTGGATTTGGGTGTGAGTGGATATGAGTGCGGGTGTAGGTGTGTGTATGGGTGTGGGTGTGAGTATGGGTATGGGTGTGAATGTGAAAAACATCCAGACCCTCACACCCACGCCTCAAGAACCATATATTTAATTTGAATAAAAAAAGCTTGTCAGCGTAGCCCCTTTGGGGCTGAAATGTGGAACTCACATATCTCCTTTGGTTTCATTATACTAATGACACAAGTAACGCGACGCAAACGTCGCTAACCCTCTACTGAAAGGAAC